TTAGAGTTTTCTCTGTGGTTATTTTTAGAGGCAGAAGCTTCGCACACCTGCACAGGAACAAAGTGCTGATCAGGCTCCATTTGTGCGGCTCAGGTCATTAAGGATGTTCTGGAAATAGGATCTTAGGACTTGTATTGTATAATTATTGTTGTTGCTTCAACTACACTGTACATGTTAATGAAATACACAAAAGGGGAACATGCTCTGGCCCCAAGCACTGTTAATCATACTACAAGACGCAGGCAGGTTTGTTTTAACACCAGGACTCCCAGAAGTAAGAAACTACTAGAACTTCCAGAGCTTCCTTTTGACTGCTCCCATTCAAATCAATGGAAGTTTGTACATTTTTAAAAAGCAAAAAAAGCAAAAACGTTCCTCATTCTATCCATATAAACATATTCTGTGATGTGACTGGAGGATATTTCCTTCAGCACTCTCCGGTCTCGCTCTCTGGTCTCGCTCTCTGGTCTCGCTCTCTGGTCTCGCTCTCTGGTCTCGCTCTCTGGTCTCGCTCTCTGGTCTCGCTCTCTGGTCTCGCTCTCTGGTCTCGCTCTCTGGTCTCGCTCTCTGGTCTCGCACTCTGGTCTCGCACTCTGGTCTCGCTCTCTGGTCTCGCTCTCTGGTCTCGCACTCCGGTCTCGCTCTCCGGTCTCGCTCTCCGGTCTCGCTCTCCGGTCTCGCTCTCCGGTCTCGCTCTCCGGTCTCGCTCTCCGGTCTCGCTGTCCGGTCTCGCTCTCTGGTCTCGCTCTCTGGTCTCGCTCTCTGGTCTCGCTCTCTGGTCTCGCTCTCTGGTCTCGCTCTCTGGTCTCGCTCTCTGGTCTCGCTCTCTGGTCTCGCTCTCTGGTCTCGCTCTCTGGTCTCGCTCTCTGGTCTCGCTCTCTGGTCTCTCTCTGGTCTCTCTCTGGTCTCGCTCTCTGGTCTCGCTCTCTGGTCTCGCTCTCTGGTCTCGCTCTCTGGTCTCGCTCTCTGGTCTCGCTCTCTGGTCTCGCTCTCTGGTCTCGCTCTCTGGTCTCGCTCTCTGGTCTCGCTCTCTGGTCTCGCTCTCTGGTCTCGCTCTGGTCTCGCACTCCGGTCTCGCTCTCCGGTCTCGCTCTCCGGTCTCGCTCTCTGGTCTCGCTCTCTGGTCTCGCTCTCTGGTCTCGCTCTCTGGTCTCGCTCTCTGGTCTCGCTCTCTGGTCTCGCTCTCTGGTCTCGCTCTCTGGTCTCGCTCTCTGGTCTCGCTCTCTGGTCTCGCTCCGGTCTCGCACTCCGGTCTCGCTCTCTGGTCTCGCTCTCTGGTCTCGCTCTCTGGTCTCGCTCTCTGGTCTCGCTCTCTGGTCTCGCTCTCTGGTCTCGCTCTCTGGTCTCGCTCTCTGGTCTCGCTCTCTGGTCTCGCTCTGGTCTCGCTCTCTGGTCTCGCTCTCTGGTCTCGCTCTCTGGTCTCGCTCTCTGGTCTCGCTCTCTGGTCTCGCTCTCTGGTCTCGCTCTCTGGTCTCGCTCTCTGGTCTCGCTCTCTGGTCTCGCTCTCTGGTCTCGCTCTCTGGTCTCGCTCTCTGGTCTCGCTCTCCGGTCTCGCTCTCCGGTCTCGCTCTCCGGTCTCGCTCTCCGGTCTCGCTCTCTGGTCTCGCTCTCTGGTCTCGCTCTCTGGTCTCGCTCTCTGGTCTCGCTTTCTGGTCTCTCTGTCTGGTCTCGCTCTCTGGTCTCGCTCTCTGGTCTCGCTCTCTGGTCTCGCTCTCTGGTCTCGCTCTCTGGTCTCGCTCTCTGGTCTCGCTCTCTGGTCTCGCTCTCTGGTCTCGCTCTCTGGTCTCGCTCTCTGGTCTCGCTCTCTGGTCTCGCTCTCTGGTCTGGTCTCGCTCTCTGGTCTGGTCTCGCTCTCTGGTCTGGTCTCGCTCTCTGGTCTCGCTCTCCGGTCTCGCTCTCCGGTCTCGCTCTCCGGTCTCGCTCTCCGGTCTCGCTCTCCGGTCTCGCTCTCCGGTCTCGCTCTCCGGTCTCGCTCTCCGGTCTCGCTCTCCGGTCTCGCTCTCCGGTCTCGCTCTCCGGTCTCGCTCTCCGGTCTCGCTCTCCGGTCTCGCTCTCCGGTCTCGCTCTCCGGTCTCGCTCTCCGGTCTCGCTCTCCGGTCTCGCTCTCTGGTCTCGCTCTCTGGTCTCGCTCTTCGGTCTCTCTGGTCTCTCTCTCTATGGTCACTTTCTGGTCTTCCTCTGGTCTCTCTTTCTCTGGTCTTTTTCTCTGGTCTGTCTCTGGTCTGTCTCTGGTGGCTCTCTCTGGTGGTTCTCTCTGGTGGTTCTCTCTGGTCTCTCTCTGGTCTCTCTCTGGTCTCCCACTCTGGTCTTTCTCTGGTTTCTCTCTGCTCCCTCTCTCTGGTCTCGCACACTCTGGTCTTTCTCTGCTCCCTTTCTCTGGTCTGTTATTCATACAACAAGACGCAGGCAGGTTTGTTTAACACCACTACTAGAACTCCCAGGGCCGTCCTTTTGTCTGCTCCCATTCAAATCCATGGAAGTTAGTGAGTTTACCCTCAGTTTTATTATTCTCTTTTAATATGTGCTAAAACTGCTGAATACAACTTGAAACACAGAAAAAAACAGTTGGGTCAAAGGCTAATGCTAATGCTAACTGGTAGCAAGTTAACAGTATGTTGCTATGGTTACTAACGTTTGCTCTGGTCTGGGAGTTGAAGAGAAATCTACTCCATTTCAACACTAAATAATAATTTCATAAAAATAATGACATAGAAAAATTTACTTTTGCTAAGTGCTAAAACTGGTGAATATAACTTGAACTACAGGGGGAAAAAGCTAATGCTAACCGGTACCAAGACGTTAACTGTATGTTGTTACTAGCGCTTTCTCTTCTTTACTAAGATAATTTTATAATAACATAGAAATAAACTACATAAAGGAACAGAAATGTCACAAAGTTAGGAAGATAATTTTTTTTACATGAGCTGTTGTCACAAACTAAACGCCGTCACATTGACTGCTCTGGGAGTTCTAGTGTTAAGTGTCGTTCCCAAGGACATAACGCTGGTCAGTAAGGTTTGACTGCGTCTTTTAGAGAGGAACTGTGGAATAGTTTACCTCTGTACATCAGAGACAGGCCTCCTCTCTGACTATGTTTAAAACCAAGTTAAAGACTGTGCTGTTTAGCTGTGCATACAACTGAGGGATTTTATATTTTTATCTTTCTTTTTAATGTTCTGTGATTATTTATGATTTTAATGCTATCTTGTTCAGCACTTTGAGTTGCCTTGTGTATGAATTGTGCTATACAAATAAACTTGCCTTGCCTTGCCTTACATTCTGAACTTTTATGCGCACCTGTATATAAGCAGCATTGATCAACATTTCAAAATAAAGTACATTTTTTCCACATATAGGCCGCACTTGAATATAAGCCGCTGGTTGTAATGTAGCAGAGACAAACGTTTTAACATGATTTAATGACGAGGTGTTTACCAGCTTCACCGTTGGCTTCCGTGAGTCTTTCACCTTCATTAGTTTTGACGTTTCCAAAACTTGACCAAAATCCACAAACTCTGCTCTGACAACAGCCCAACTCTATCCCACAAAAAATACACATATTAGCCGCGTTGCTATATAAGCCGCAGTGTTCAAAGAAATACAAAAAAGTAGCGGCTCATCAGACACCAACTGTCTACTGTTTTACTTTTTAACATATATATATTTTTTTTTTATTCGGTTCTCTTTTCTTTTGTACCTGTGAAGCACTTTGGGCAGCTGGCGTTGTTAATATGCTATAAAAACAAATTCCAATTAAAATACATATATTTTTATAATGTATTTAAAAAGACTAGAAATGGTTATGGTTTTATCTATATTGTTTATTGTCAGTGAGGATGAGGAATGCTGTAGTCTGCATCTGGTTCCCATCTGGACCTAAGGGCCACGTGGAGGATCTCAGTAGTATCATCTCTGCAGTAATCTCATACTTTTGCACAGTATCTCATTCAAAAAGATGTATTCCTCGAGCTACAATCTTCAAGGTGTTCTGTTTTTGACAGTAAATGTGAAAGTATTTGGAACTGACGATGACGCAGGGAGTGAAGGAATTAGGGTTAAATACACACGACTATACACACATAGATAGCACATACGTAGATACTGTAGATAGATACTTTACTGATCCCTGTAGAAGAAATTCAGGAGTCCAGCAGCAGAAACACATCCATTCATAAAAACAAATAAACACATCATTCTCAAAGTTACTAACAATAGAAATAAAAAGTGGTCAGGTATGGTTGTCTGAGGAAGCAAGGCGGCTTTGTCAAAACCCCAGCAGCAGAGGCGGTGTAGCCGCTGGTGACGAGCTGCTTCCTCTGGTTGTTGTTTAAACCATTTTCCCTTTTCTGGTTCAGAGTGAAATTCTTAATGGTTTATTAGCATTTTTTCAAGAAAATGAGCACTCCTCTAGGGGCGACAGTAGCTCAGTTGGTAGAGCATTGGCCTTTGGGCCGGAAGATTGTGGGCTCGAGCCCATCACGGGACCTACTCCAACTGCTCCCACTAATGTCTGTAGTTGTTGTGTCCTTGGGCAAGACACTTAACCCCACATTGCCTGAAGCTCCTGCTGAAACACCAAGGCTGTGGCACCACTGATGTAGCGGCTATCTTCCCGTGGACTCACCACCTGCAGGAGGATCAGAGATTCATGAATGAATGAATGAATGAGCATTCCTCCAGTGGATTTATGCTTGATCATCTTGGTTGGGACCATCCTCTTTGCTCTGGTCTGGATCAGTGTGTCCAGACCAGAGCAAATTCGATTTGCGATTCCACCGCATTCAAAAGATGAGATTAAAACATGAGGGCAGGGTATCACACAAACAGGAAGTAGGACTGAGTAAGGCACCAGGTTTGAACTAGGTCGGAATTACGTATAAACCAGGTCTGAATCAGGATTGAACCAGGTTTATCCCAGGTTGGAACCAGGCACTGGGCTATGAAGTCATAAAATAAAACAGGAGATAAATCTAAACCATGACATTGTGCTTCTGTTACAGAGAGGGCAATGGAGGATGAGTGTGGGCCCCCAGGAGGCCAGTCCAGCACAGACAGACTGACCCGGGCCAAAGTGGTCCGGTGTGGTTGGCTGAGGAAGCAGGGCGGCTTTGTGAAAACGTGGCACAACCGCTGGTTCGTCCTGAGAGGGGAGCAGCTCTACTACTACAAAGATGAAGAGGAGACCAAAGCACTGGTGAGACATGGACGCTAACATCACAAATCGCTAATATCAGAAATCGCTAATATCAGAAATCGCTAATATCAGAAATCGCTAATATCAGAAATCGCTAACATCAGAACTGCTGTTTGGATCAAATGTGGGCGTCAACCTGAAACTTGACCCCCTGTTGTCATGGGCATATTCTGTCAGACCTCTTAAGCTAAGCAGGGAAGGGTCTGGTCAGTACTGTGATGGGAGACCTAGAAAAAAACACTTCACCCATATTGCCTAGAATGAGTCTGGTGTCTGTGTTAATGGCACATACTGGTTGCCTCACTTCTGTCAGTGTGCCCCAGGGCGGCTGTGGCTAGAATAGTAGTTTATCACCACTGTGTATGGAGTGAAAGAATTATGCTATGTGAAGCATCTTTGAGTTTCCAAAATCAATGTATTTATTATTATTATTATTGTATACTCCTCACTGGGATGACTTGGGACTCCTGAAAGTTCAGCTTGATCCGTTTTAATCCCGTAACATGACTGTAAACACACATCGAGGTTGCTTCTTCTTATGTCTGTAACCAAGCACCACATAAAAAAGAATGTTCCTGGTCAGACAACACAACAGACACACTGACTTTTCCACACAAAGAAAGCTGCCACGCAATGGATAGATGAGTCTGAGGATTGGGAAAGGCCTCTCTCTGTGCTCTGCGTGGTCAGGGTCCATTGACAAACAACATCTGTAAAAGCAAATGGAATATAATTTAATATAATATTATAAAATGAAAGATGAATAGCCCTCCAGAGAGAGAGAGAGAGAACTGCTCTTTGTCTTACCCAGGCCTCAGGTAATAAATAATGGAAAATGATTAAATGTATTCTGTGCATCTATATCCTAAGCTTTCATGGCTGTTTTATTATTATTATTAGTTTATCTAGTGTTTTAAAAAATCCAAGCTAAATTACATTGTCACTACTGTTTCTGGCAAATAATTAATACATCTAAAAAATGAGTAAACAAATGAAACCAGGTCTGAATCAGGTCTGAACCAGGTCTGAACTACCCCAGGACTAGCCCAGGTATGAACCAGAACCGAACGAGGACTAAACAAGGTCTGAACCCGGTCTAAACCAGGTCTGAATTACGTATGAACCAGGTCTGAACTAGGACTAAAACAGGACTGAACCAGGTCTAAACCAGGACTGAACCAGGTCTAAACCATGTCTGAACCAGGTCTGAACCAGGTCTAAACCATGTCTAAACCAGGTCTAAACCAGGTCTGAACTAGGTCTGAACTAGGTCTGAACCAAGTCTAAACCATGTCTAAACCATGTCTAAACCAGGTATGAACCAGATCTAAACAAGGTCTAAACCAGGTCTGAACGAGGTCTGAACCAGGTCTAAACCAGAGGTCTGAACCAGGTCTAAACCAGGTCTGAACCAGGACTGAACCAGGACTGACCCAGGTCTGAACCAGAACTTAACCAGGACTGACCCAGGTCTGAACCAGGACTGAACAAATGTGCAGTATGTAAGATAGCAGATATATATAGCAGTCTAAATGGGTTTCCTTAGTGGGGCGGCTGGCAGAGGAAGAATTCTCAGTCACACAGGAGCTCAGAGTGAAGCCACTGCTCCTCCACACCATGAGTAATCGGCTGATGTGAGTCTATTTAGGACGCTTCCAGCTCACGTCCCTGGGGAGGTGTTCCAGGCATGTCCCACCGGAAGGCTCTGGACCGGTCTGGGAATGCCTTGGAATTCAACCTGGATGAACTGTATGTGGAAGTCTGGGCATGTCTGCTTATAGACTGTGGCCTCCCCAAACCGGGCCTGGGTGAAGCGAAAGAACATGGCATGGAGCAGTACAGTATGTGTCCAATAGAGTATGTTTGCCCAGACTGCAGTAATGATGAAGTACTAACATTAGAACTCCCACAGAATTCAATTTGACTGTTTAATTGCTCAGTGTACATTTATAGTTGTACATAAATGTACACTGAAAATATAAACACAGTTTATATGTTTATAGCCCACAAATTATCTGGGGCTCTTTTTTACGTGAGCGGGTTCTGGTTCTGGACTGGTTTTGGTGCTGTACTGGTTCTGGATTTGGTTCTGTACTGGTTCTGGTTTTGATTCTCTACTGGTCCTGGACTGGTTTTGGTCCTGGACTGGTCCTGGTTTTGGTTCTGGACTGGTTCTGGTTTTGGTTCTCTACTGGTACTGGACTGGTTTTGGTTTGGTTCTGATTCAGCTTGGTAATTTCCCCCAGAGAAGAGCAAGTGCTGTTACCATAGAAACACAGTGTTTAGTGTCAGCAGTTAGCTTTTGGTCTTTAGCATTAGCGTTACAACAAACTGTATTAACTTTATTTCGAGTTACAGTCACCGGTTCTAGCACTTATTGAGTTAAGGAAACACTAGTGAGTTAAGGAAAAAACTTAATTGCTAAGAAAACCAACAATTTTTGTTTTGAAATTTCTCAGAATTCCATTGGTTTGAAAGGAGTAGTCACAATGGGAGCTCTATGCTAGTTACCATAGCAACACACTGTTTAACTGCAGCTGCTAGCATTTGGTCTTTAGCATTAGCGTTACAACAAACTGTTTTAACTGTTTTTCAAGTTACAGTCACCGGTTCTAGCACTTATTGAAAGTGAGTAAAGGGCAATAAAAACTCTTATAAATTACTTTTAAGAAAACTAAACCTTTTTGTTGGAATTTCTCAGAATTCCGTTGGTTTGAAAGGAGCATTCACAATGGGGGTTCTATGCTAGTTACCATAGCAACACACTCTTTACCTGCAGCAGTTAGTAAGCCTTTAGTTTTTCTGTATTTCATTCATATTTACCAGTTTTAACATGTAATTAATTTGAATAAAAGCAGTGAAATAATGAAAACTTATTGGGGGATTTTTTTTTTCAGAATTGTATGTGATTGGGAACCTTCAAAATGTCTGCTGTGGTAGTTTGAGTAGTTTGAGAATCCCGGCAGTAAACAGGTGGAATGAACAGGAAGAGAATGTTCCTACAGTAAGTGGTACAGTATGTGGAGCAGCCATATTTAGTGGAGATATTAATTACTGCCCTAACTCGGTGTGAAGTGTCCATTTGTTACCTGTCACCTACACTTCCTGGTTTGCCTTCGCCACAGAAACAAGAACATCTGTTGCCCTGGAAACATAGGAAAGTCTACACATGGAATCTTTTCATTATTGTAGTTAAATTTGGTGAGTTATGGCTTTTCTCTTGTGTGTGTCACAGAAACAGACTGTACTGTACATTCTCATGTTGTGTGCTGCTGGAGAGGCTGCTACCGTATGGACGCTGACTGTATGTGCGTGTTTGTGTGTATGTGTGAGTGTGCGTGTGTGTCTATGCGTGTTTATGTCCGTGTGCGTGTGTGTGTGTATGTGAATGCGTGTTTAGTGTGTATGTGTGTGCTTGTGTGTGTGTTTGCATGTTTATGTCAGTGTGTGTGTGTTTCTGTGTGTCTATGTGTGTGCGTGTACTTTCATTGTGTGTGTGTGCGGAATCCTGGGAATGGTCGTCTGACAGAGGTGAAAGGTCGACCAGAAATATGTAGAGTACGGCACGTGTGGCTCCCAGCAACATGCCATCTGCATGTGCACACAATACACACACACACACACAATAAACACACGCATATATATACATAGGCACATAGGCACACACACACACATATACACACACACATACACTGGGGCTGTATAATTGACAAAGCCAGTATTCAGTCAGTGTAATTCTTGGTAAATTATTGTAGTTGAAACCACTTTTGAAATTGTCTTTAATAAACATTTCACAAATGTTTTGTATATACTTAACTCTCTGTTTGTGTGGAACTCTGTTGATATATGTGTGTAATTCTATAGTGACGTCTTTCGAAGTTTGGATTTGAATGAAGTGAAAACCTCACAAAGGCTCATGTCAGATGAAATATTCACAAGATTCACAAAACATGAATAACTTAAAGTGGAATAAGTCGACTGTTGTTCCCATGATTTGACCTCGACATTCAGAGAAGAGACAGTTCCATCTTATCTCTCTATTTTCTATTAAGCTTTACCTCACATCTCCAGTATTTGTTAATGTTTTGTTACTACACGGTATAAAGTATTACATAAACAGTAACACAGACAGCAGCAGATTACTCTATTGTTCATCAACTTTGGATTTCATTTCTTTGGACTGTAACTCTATAAACTATATAATAACTATAAACTCAACAGAAATGTACCAAATTTCTTAATTGATAGAAGGCTTGTATATATCAGGGAGCTATCGTCATGTGTGGAACAGAGGGTCCCAGAGTGAATCGACAGCAGCTTTGAAGCAGGACGCTGATGGATGGAAATGTCTTCATTAGTTACAGCTGCAGCAGATCCTGCAGCTCACTCAAACATTCTGTTGTCGGCTGCAAGATTCTGTGAATGGTATGTGCAGGTGCATGGACCTGAGAGAGAGGGAGAGAGGGAGAGAGAGAGAGACAAAGAGAGAGAGACAGAGAGGGAGAGAGGGAAGAGAGAGAGAGACAGAGAGGGAGAGAGAGAGACAGAGAGGGAAGAGAGAGAGAGACAGAGAGGGAGAGAGAGAGACAGAGAGGGAGAGAGGGAAGAGAGAGGGAGAGAGAGAGAGCATAGAGAGAGAGAGAGAGAGAGAGAGAGCAAGAGCAAAGCCTCTGGCCACAAGCCTCACGCTGGAATGGAGTTTAGGGCTCAAATAATTACCCAATGACTCCAAACTTAAAATCTTACATTTCCCTGTGTTATTAATTAAAAACATTCCCTCCATCGCTGCAGGACCTGTACGTCGCCTGCGAACCAGAACCTTCCTCCATAAGAACAGTTTCTTCCCTTTTGCAGTTGGAGTCATGAACACTTTATAAATCATCACTGACCTCTGCCCTTTATGACTGTCACTTTACCGTCACTTTACCGTCACTTTACAGTCACTTTACTGTCACTTTACCGTCACTTTACCCTCACTTTACTGTCACTTTACAGTCTTTTTACTGTCACTTTACTGTCACTTTACTGTCACTTTACTGTCACTTTACTGTCACTTTACTGTCACTTTACTCTCACTTTACTGTCACTTTACCCTCACTTTACTGTCACTTTACTGTCACTTTACTGTCACTTTACTGTCACTTTACCCTCACTTTACTGTCACTTTACCCTCACTTTACTGTCACTTTACTGTCACTTTACTGTCACTTTACTGTCACTTTACTGTCACTTTACCGTCCCTTTACTGTCACTTTACTGTCACTTTACCGTCACTTTACTGTCACTTTACCGTCACTTTACTGTCACTTTACCGTCACTTTACCGTCACTTTACTGTCACTTTACTGTCACTTTACCGTCCCTTTACTGTCACTTTACTGTCACTTTACCGTCACTTTACTGTCACTTTACCGTCACTTTACTGTCACTTTACCCTCACTTTACTGTCACTTTACAGTCACTTTACTGTCACTTTACTGTCACTTTATTGTCACTTTACTGTCACTTTACCGTCACTTTACTGTCACTTTACCGTCACTTTACCGTCACTTTACCGTCACTTTACTGTCACTTTACTGTCACTTTACTGTCACTTTACTGTCACTTTACCGTCACTTTACTGTCACTTTACTGTCACTTTACCGTCACTTTACCGTCACTTTACTGTCACTTTACTGTCACTTTACCTTCACTTTACTGTCACTTTACTGTCACTTTACCGTCACTTTACTGTCACTTTACCGTCACTTTACTGTCACTTTACCCTCACTTTACCCTCACTTTACTGTCACTTTATCGTCACTTTACTGTCACTTTACCGTCACTTTACTGTCACTTTACCGTCACTTTACCGTCACTTTACCGTCACTTTACTTTCACTTTACTGTCACTTTACTGTCACTTTACTGTCACTTTACCGTCACTTTACCGTCACTTTACCGTCACTTTACTGTCACATTACCGTCACTTTACCCTCACTTTACCGTCACTTTACCGCCACTTTACCGTCACTTTACCGTCACTTTACCGTCACTTTACCGTCACTTTACAGTCACTTTACCGTCACTTTACCGTCACTTTACTGTCACTTTACCGTCACTTTACTGTCACTTTACCTTCACTTTACAGTCACTTTACCGTCACTCTACCGTCACTTTACCGTCACTTTACTGTCACTTTACCTTCACTTTACCGTCACTTTACTGTCACTTTACCTTCACTTTACCGTCACTTTACCGTCACTTTACCGTCACTTTACTGTCACTTTACGTCACTTTACAGTCATTTTACTGTCACTTTAAAGTCACTTTACTGTCACTTTACCGTCACTTTACTGTCACTTTACCTTCACTTTACCGTCACTTTACCGTCACTTTACCGTCACTTTACTGTCACTTTACGTCACTTTACAGTCATTTTACTGTCACTTTACCGTCACTTTACCGTCACTTTACCGTCACTTTACTGCACTGCTAAATGTCTATTGTGTGTGTAGATTTTTCTTGTATACATGCCTATTTAACTTGTTTGCCTGTGCCATAGACTGAGTAGATCTCATGTCTTTTATTATTAAAGAAACATCCCCAAAGAACCTGCTCTGGCCCAGAGTCTGGAGCTGACTTGAGGCTAAATATACACCATTTGGATTAGTTAAATAATAATAATAATAATGCATCGGTTTTATATAGCGCTTTTTTGGACACTCAAAGACGCTTCACATGTGTCATTATTCATTCACTCCATACACGGTGGTGATAAGCTACTACTGTAGCCACAGCTGCCCTGGGGCACACTGACAGAAGCGAGGCAACCAGTATGTGCCATCGGCCCCTCCGACCACCACCAACCATTCACACACACACCAGACTCATTCTAGGCAATGGGGGTGAAGTGTCTTGCCTAAGGACACAACGGCAGTTTGGCACTTTACAGCTGCAGCCGCCCCACTGTGGCTGGTGTTCCCAGAGGTTAAGTGTCTTGCCAAGGACACAACAACAGTAGTCAGTGGGAGTCGATGGTGAAAGTCTTGAGCGGGGCTTGAACCCACGACCTTCTGGCTCAAAGGCCAATGCTCTACCAACTGAGCTACTGCCGCCTCTGACCTAACCATAACTAACCAAACTTAAACAGTTTGGTTAGTTATTTAGTTTGTCTGCAGTGATCCGCCGGGGGCCGTGTCTCTGTGGAAAGATTCTCACCACTGTGGTTTGACTACAGGCTGCTTGTGTGTGTCCTGTAACACACGTGCTGTGGGTCTGCTCGCTGTAGACGGGTGTCTGCGGACCTTCTGTCTTCACTGTTTTCTCAGCAGGACGAGCCACTCCCTCTGATCTGTTGTACTTCTCACTAACGCACACACTGCTTTCATTATCTCCGACACACAACTCCTATAGTTCCTCAAGATTAAGAGATCCTTTATTCCTCCCACAGAAATGTTCATCAGGCTTCATGTGTTCATCAGGCTTCATGTGTTCATCAGGCTTCATGTGTTCATCAGGCTTCATGTGTTCATCGTGTGTTTACATCTACACATGTGAGCAGCCTGAGGGTCTGGACACAGTGACATCAATCAACCAACTTTTATGTATATGTACAGTTCATACAGAATGCAACCCAAAGTGCTTCACATTGGATACATTTAAAACCAATTTTTAAAAGAACACAATGTAATTACGAATACAAAGACAATTTAAAAATAAATAACTATATACATCAATAACAGGCACGGCTGAAAATTCGTTTTCAGCCTGGACTTGAATATATCTATGGTAGCAGCCTGTCTCACACCTTCGGGAAGACTGTTCCAGATTCTAGGTGCATAGGTCTGGAACGCTGCCTCCCCATGTTTAGTCCCAACTCTGGAACCCAACAGGCGGCCAGTCCCCGCGCTCCTCAGAGTTGGAGCCGGCTCATATGGCACCAGCATGTTGCGTATATGTCATGTGGTTCTGCAGTGTACATTCTGACATCCGTTCACATTAATTTGTTCAATATTTATCCACAGTTTTCTTAGATGAAAGTATAGTTTCCACTTTCATTTCTTTGTGTGTAACTTTCAACTCAGAAATGCACCAAATTCCTGAATTGATAGAAGACCTTAGTTTGGCTCCGTCACTAGAGCCTATATCATAACGTACAAGTGCTGTCACAATATAAGCAAACCATCCAATAAAACGCAGGCTACAAACAAGTGTCATAATAAATATTCCAAACAAGGAGCCTCTAAATTGTGTGTTATATTTTGTGGTTTCTTCCAGGGAGCTATCGTCCTGCCTGGAAACAGAGTCACGGAGCATCCCAGCTGTGGGGACGATGGAGGCAAGTTCCTGTTTGAAGTCATTCCAGGTGAGTTTTACATCAACAGTAAACAAAGATGGCGGATGACCATATATGGGCATCGGTCATCTGCCCCTCATGGACCAACGGCTCTATGTGTTTGTTAGCATTGCATTTCCTGTGTTTGAACGGTTGGATTCTCTGATCTGTGACGAGTCCTCCGAGATACTACTGTGATGTATATTTATCTATTTAACCTTTATTTAACCAGGAAAGTCCCATTGAGATTAAGAACCTCTTTTTCAAGGAAGTCCTGGACAAAAGTTACAAACAGTTACATACATTTTCATAAAGTAACAGATTATAAAAACAGTTAATGTCACTAAGGATGTTTCTAGTGCTCTCAATGTGGATCTAAAAGCATTCAATAATATAAATTCAGATATTTCCAGTCTTTTTCCGACACTTTCCATGTAGAAGGAGCAGCATATAAAAGCCTTTTCCCAGTTTGGGGCTTGACAAAAATACATTGAGTTGAATTGAATTGAGCTACTTAAAATACTACAAAGATTGCAAAAGGGACAATAACAAACACATAGAGCCATTGGTCCATAGTCCAGTTTTTTTGTATTAAAGTCTGGCTATTTCATACATAATATTTCATTGTTTCATGTATTTTGCTGAAAAAGTGAAGTAGATTATATATTGTAGAGTATTTTATTAACAGGTGGAGAAAGAAATCCACCAGATACAGTTGGTTTTCTTCTCTTCTCTTCTTTGGCCTTTTTTTTTTGCTGTTTTTTCTGTTGTTAAATGTCACATGTCAAAAACAAGCATGTTACTGAATTCCTTGGGTCAGTATTTTTTCTGGTTGATTTGTGTCTGAAGGGCGTTGACTTCAAAAGGTATGTTATGACCTATTTCTGGAGAGGAATCTTAAAGCTGCTCGTTCATAGAAACAGAAGGACTGGACTGTTTGGTTCAGACGTGACGGTGGTAGAACACGTGTGACAAAAGTGAAGCCACGTCCTACATTGTTTTTGTTGAGTTTTTGGGTTTCTGTGAGGCGCAGTAAAGTGTTAGAACTGAAGCCTTTTGGGACATTATTTCTGCTTGGCTTTGGGCAGATTCCAAGCTGTATTCTAATGTGGTTTTACTGCAAATGGCAAAATGAAGGGAATCTGAAGTAGACACAAAAAAATTGAATCGATACAGTATAGAGAAAAGTATTGTGATATTTAATGAAATAATTATCTGTTTCACTACAGAAAAATCTGTGTTTTCTCTGAGTTTACTGGTAGTTTACAAAAGAGGCCAAAATGACGTGCTCTGACATGCTGCAATACCACCCCGGGCCGATGGGGGTGGACCCGGAAGAAGAATTAGCCAATGCTAACATGTAGCATCTTCTTACCTCTCTCAAACGTCTTTACAGGATGGTCCAAAAGCTCTTGGCCCAAAGCTCCGTTCCACATGTGTGTCAATGCTGAGGGGGGTGGATTATTTTGGACCACTCTGGTTTAGTCGCTGTGAATTTTTGAAGTCACTCGTTCAAATGAATGTGGGCACTTCAGTTCATGTACATACCATAATAAAAGTCACATTTGAGTTATTGAGTTATTTTTCTCAATTTGTGTAATGCCTTTGGGAGATGAATCGCAATATATCACAAAAAATATGTCAAGAATCGAAATTATACTGAATTGTGGCCCAAATATCACAATATTATCAAATCATCAGACTTTTTTCCATTCCCAGCTCTTTCTATACACCATGAATCAAATGTCGTTGGTCAGTGAGTTTGTTATGTGTGTGTTTTGTGTGACGGATTGGTGCTTAATATTCAGCTCCTTGTTTTCCTCCATGAGACGAACGTTCATGAACTCAGACGGATGGAAAACTAGAAATGTTACAAATAAAGAAGTCTCAGAGAAGAGGAGAGAGTGAGCAACACGGGGAAACAAGCTGCACATATATTCCACTGAGACACACACACACACACACACACACACACACACACACACACACACACACACACACACACACACACACACACACACACACACACACAGGAAGTGACCCCTCCTCTGTCTGCTGGCCGTTGAGTATGACTGAGGGAGTCACTTTTTTTAGAGCCAGGAGTTCAACCCAGGGCTCATGTATTACACTCAAAAGGTCACATAACCACAAAAAGTAATGAAAAATAAATTACAAAAATTAATCTATCTTCATTTTAAGTACATTCTGGCAGTACTGAAGATACAAAAAAAATGGTTTGATGTCCAAACTTTCCATTGATATGAATAAAACCAAATATTTGGAAATAAACAAACCATGTTGAATCAGTATTGGGGAGATAGACATTGAAAGGTTGTATGTAACAAAGGCTCAGTGTTGCTGCTTCGCTCAGACCAAAAACATGGTTCTAGTCTAAACAAGTGGACGTGCCCTTCTCGGACCGTCTGCCCTCTCCAGTCAGGCTCACACAGTTTACACCAGGCACTGTGATGGGAGACCTCTGGGAAAACCAGGTGGGGCGGCTGTGGATGTGGTAAGAAATCTTTATTTATATAGCGCATTTAAGGTCACCCAAAGCGCTTTACAATGTTCAGAGTTCAAATATTGTTCCATTTTCTCATCAAAGCGTCAACCAACAACATCCATTCACTCATTACATTCAGACCTAGTGTACAACCGGAGCACCTGGAGGAAACCTACGCAGGCACAGGGGAGAACATGAAAACTCCACACAGACAGGCCCTGTTCTGATCGGGATTCGAACCCACAACCTGTCTGCTGAGTTTGCATGCTCTCCCGTGTCTGTCTAGGTTTCCTCCAGGTGCTCTGGTTTCCACTAGCACTAAATACTTGTGAATTACTGTTGGTCTGTATGACGGCCTCGCTCCTATCTCTGTGTGGAGTGAGAGACAAATGCCCACAACAGTTATAAAGTGCTTTGTGACTCTGGTCTGTGAAAGGCGCTATATACATAAATATTACTGGTCGCCTCGCTTCTGTCAGTGTGTCCCAGGACAGATGTGGCTACAGTGGCACTTTATCACCGCTGTGTATGGAGTGAATGAATAGTGACATGTGTCTTTGATCAAAAAAAATAAAAAAAACTGTGATAAAAAACAAAGCATTATATTAATATTCATATAATTTATATTTTTCAGGGTTTCTCCTGCTCATAGTTTTGTTTCTTTAATTGTAAGATTTCAGTCATCAAATATAATGCAACACAACTGTAGACTTTCCCAGCGCGACTATTTACTGACCCCTTGTGGCTTAAACTTGATATTATAATCACTTTTTACAAGCGTGAGACTGTGGCTTTCGTGTTTACAGCGTGGATAATAGACTTTGAAAGTGTGTAATAAAACATATATTTGTATGTAAACCAGGGGACTGTACAATCAGAATAAAATTATTTTGTTGGTCTTTGTATGTTTAAAAAAATGTATTTAATAATCAAAAAAGTAGAAGTCAAAGAAGATTCAAATAAAGTCTGTGTCATGTTTACAGTCTACTCTACGGTGTCATCCCCAAAACCTATTCTTCCAATTTAAATATATGTATATTATAGATTATTTATTATAAACCTGCACAACACATTTTCACATCAATATAACGGACAGATAATAATGGATCTAAAAGGAGTTGGAGGAAGCAAATTCAAAACACATTTCATAATACAATATATGACACTACCATAGAGACGGGATACAACAAAATAGACATATAACAGAGAGACACACACACAAAAAGACACACACAGACACGCGCACAGAGAGACTCGCACACACAAAGACACGCGCGCACACATGTAGAGAGAGCAAGACACACACAGACACGCACACACACATGCACACATACACACACATAGAGAGAGCAAGACACACACACACACAGACACGCACACACACATAGAGAGAGCCAGACACACACACACAGACACGAACACACACATACACACGTAGAGAGAGCCAGACACACACACACAGACACGCACAAACCATAGACTGTAAATATTACAGAGAGAATATACTCCCCCTTGTGGAATATTTAAGCAACTGCACCAAAATATTGCTACAGCTTTGACTTTATTGTATCTTGCTCTGAAATCATAGTTGCTAAATATAACTTTGGTGGTGCGGAGCGTGGTGGTGCGGAGCGTGGTGGTGCGGAGCGTGGTGGTGCGGAGCGTGGTGGTGCGGAGCGTGGTGGTGCGGAGCGTTGTGGTGCGGAGCGTTGTGGTGCGGAGCGTCGTGCGTTGTGGTGTGGAGCGTTGTGGTGCGGAGCGTCAGAGGTGCGGAGCGTCAGAGGTGCGGAGCGTTGTGGTGCGGAGCGTCGTGCGTTGTGGTGTGGAGCGTTGTGGTGTGGAGCGTCAGAGGTGCGGAGCGTCAGAGGTGCGGAGCGTCGTGGTGCGGAGTGGCGCGCGGTGCGGGGAGGGCCGTTTGACGCCGCTTTCGGCTTTAATTGATATATACTTATTACGTAAGAAGCAGTCACAGCAATTCTGTATATTTTATTTGCTCTTTGTGTGCTCTCACTGCTGTCCTGTATGTGCGCTGCAACACTGGAATTTCCCCTTTGTGAGTCAAATTAAGGTTCTCTTCTATTATCTCTGCTAAACTGATTGAAAAGCTCATGTCTCTCGGTTTAAGTGTTGCCATGTGTAAATGGATTTTTAGCTTTTTAACTGACAGATCTCAGAGAGTGAAAATCAATGACTGTTTTTCTGATGTTGTTTCTGTGAGCACTGGTTCTCCTCAGGGATGTATTTTGAGTCCTTTGCTTTTTACTTTGTACACTCAAGACTGTGTGTCCTCCTCTGACTCAAACTTGATCATCAAATATGCTGATGACACCACTATCATCGGTCTCATCAGTGACAATGATGAATCCTCTTATAGAGCAGAGATACAAAATGTGGTTCAGTGGAGTCAAACTAACAACCTCCAGTTGAACGCATCGAAAACATGTGAACTGGTCTTCGACTTCAATCGCAAATAGTTCTCATTTGCCTGTCGTAATCGACAACTCCCAGGTGCAGATCGTAGAGGAGTGCCAGGTTCTGGGTTTAACTCTGTCTAACGACCTGAAATGGGTTAAAAACACTGACCGAGTCGTTAAGAAAGCTCGTCAGTGTCTCTACTTTCTGCGTAAACTTAGAGAATTTACCACTAACTCTAAGATTCTGCTTAACTTTTATCACTGCACCATTGAGAGTTTACTTGTTGGTTCTGTGTCTGTGTGGTTTGGAAACATCACAGATAAAGAAAAGAGAGCTTTAAACAAGGTGCTCCGCTCTGCAAAGAGGACCGTGGGCTGTGAGACCAGAGAGAGACCAGAGAGAGGACCGTGGGCTGTGAGCTTCCTGTTCTGGAGGTTCTTTATAAATCCAGACTTTTAAACAAAGCTCTTAGGATTGTCAATGACTCTTCTGGCCACCCTGGAAAAGCCTTGTTCCAGCTTCTTCCCTCTGGCAGAAGATATCGCTCTCTGAGATGCAGGACATCTCGTTACGCTAACAGTTTTTATCCACAGGCTGTTATCAGTTTGAACAGAGCACTTTAATGATTTGCACTCGTTTTGAAACTGTTTTAGTCGATCGATTTCACAGTGACATTTGTTTACTGTTTTATTTGTTTTATTTCTGTCTTTTAATGTTGTTTTATGTCTGTATTTGTCTGTGCACACTGGAGACTTTTGCTAATGTATTCCAATGTGTTTTTTTTATACTGCAAATGGCAAATAAACTGAATCTGAATATGTTGTCGTGTGAATCCAGGGAAATAAAAGGACGTCTCCATAGAAACAAGCCACAGAAGAAGTCACAGATAATATAAACAGAACTGAACTTAATCTTCACAACAGAGCAAAGTTTACGACACAACATGACTCTATTATTTGACCTCTGACCCCAGACACTGACCGGAACATTCTTTCTGACCGATTTAGACGTAACTGGAGCAAAGCTCCATGAAAAATCTCTCTTATTTTGACGT